AAGTCCTGGATACGCTGTTGGGAAGTCCAGAGCGAGAGTGTCATGTCGGAGTGGCAAGAGCGTGGGTCTCTGATAACTTGTCAGGAAGGCGCAGGCGCGAGCTCGATCCCTGAGCGGAGAGAGCGTGTTTTTTGGTATCATAGAGAGCGGTATTCTTGCGCTAATTACAAGGACCCCTCGAGCGCGAGGGAGATTCTTGAGTACTTCGTGAGAAAGTCTCAGGCGGGAGAGCTTGTTATTGAGCCTGGAGATGTTTTCAATCAATTCGTTTAAAGACAATGCCAGGGCCGAGGGACTCACGTCAATCGACGCAATTAAACACAATGGACACTGGTGAAGAGGCATCAACAGTCATCGTTTTCAAGGAGCGAGGCCTCATCAACAATAGCAATTCGCATCGCGGAATTTCCTTTACCAGCCACGCACCTAAGGACAGTGTAAGACCAATCGGCCCCCTCAAGGTGACGTAGTTTGACAGGTGCAGCCCGCTTGCGGTTGTCACCAAGGATAACTGCGGGGCCAGGGGCAGCCCTGCGCCAAGGGCCCCCGAGGAGGCGTGCGACTTGGAGCTGCGGCTGAGAGAGAAGAGCGCCGAGGTGGAGGAAGCGGCAGCCACCATAGAGGACCTGCTCCTCTCCTTCCTCTCCTTCCTCCTCTTCCTCCTCCTCCTCCTCTTCCTTCTCCTCTTCCTCCTTCTCTTCTTGCCTACATTGCCTACATGTTCCCAGGCCACGGGGTGCGAGGGCCGAGCCATGGGAGGTTCTCTGCCTTGGCGTCCTTCGTGTAGAGCCTAGCGGACCCGTGGGTTGTGCTGGCCGACTGGAACATGAGCAGTGCGGACTTGGTCGCCACGGGTTTCCCCGAAAAGGTCCAAGGGGAGGTCCTGTTGCCGCGGGACGTGCAGGTGATCTGCTTCAAGGGCGCGGGGAGCCCCATCGACTGCGCTGGTGGCGCGCAGCATCCCTGAACGGGTTGATCTGGAAGTTGTGCTCCGCGTGCCGTGGAAGGTCCACTGCGGGCTGCAGCTGCGTGTCCGTGGCGCGCGGCTGGTTTGTAATAGAAGGCAGCTGGATTTGCCTCAGCCCTTGCCGACGCCGCCGCGTCCTGCGATCGCCGCAGACCCAAACAGCAAGACCTCCAGGCGTAAGGCGGAGTTGCTGGCACGGCGCAGGGAGCGCCTCCCCTCCGAGCTTCGAGTGGGGTTTGATGAGGTTCGTCCCCCTGGCTGGCTTCGCGATCCTGGGGGTCAAGGACGTCGTTGTGCTTGTGGTCAGCGAGAGTCTGAGCCAGGCGAAGACGGAGCCACCCGTGACATTTATTGCCCGGCCGATGGGCGTTTGGGGGCCCGGCCCCAGGCCGCGCGGGCGGCGGCCGGCGCGGCGAGTTCGAGCGCCGGCGAGGATGCCGGCGCCGCCCTGCTGGCTTGCGCTGCGGCACGCGTGGGCCCCGAGCCGCGCGAGGCGGCTTTCTACGTCACGGCGGGGGGCTGGCGCGGCGCTGTTGCCGCGGTCCCGGAGGGGCCTTGGAATGGAGCTGGGCGCATGGCCTTCATGGACGACCATCGCCTTGTTGTCTGGGCCGGTGCTAGGGGTGATGTGATCAGCGGTTTGTACGCGACCTGTGTGGCCAGGGTTGAGTCGGCTCTCCTCGATGCTGGCGGTGTCGCCTCGGAGACGGAGAGGCGCAGGTCTTGCGGTAGAGCGCAGGGCTACGGTTTGCGACTTGTCGCCGTCAAGGCCACGCCAGGCCGACCCCCCATGCGCCACTAACCCGCAGAGCACTGGGGCGTGGTGACTGCGCTGTTGAATCAGATGGCCGTTCTGAGACGGAGGTGTCGCATTCCCGTGCAGCAGCGGTTGTGCGTTGCGTGGATGAGGTGCCCTTGGACGAGCTGGAGATCATCGTCGTGGTCACTGATCGTTATTTGGTGGCCGGCCAGAGCAGGGCTATCTCAAACCAGCGGCGTGAGTTCGCTTCTTGGGCCAAGCGGATGTGGTTGTCGAAGCTTGGTGAGCTCCGTTGCTGCGTCAAGGACACGACACCTCAGCCGATGGAGGCGCGGGTGGGTTGCTCGACGGTGGCGGACCCCCGGGCCGTGATGTGCTTCAAGGCTGAGCGATGGGGTAGCTTGTGGCGGGCCCCCTCCGACACGTGGGACGACTTGGAGAAGCATGTGGCGGCCACCCTTGGCGCGCGCCAGGCAGGACCCCCTCGACGACCTCGAGGTGGACGGCATGCGCGGGGGCCTGCGCGCTCAGGGGCCGCGCCAGGCCTGCGGCGTCGATGGGCGGGGTGCCGACGACGTCAACCGCCTGCCGCAGGAGGGCCAGGAGGAGTTGCTGCTCTTGCTCAGGGCCTGCGAGCGGCTCGTCTGTTGGCCCAGGCAGCTCCTCGGCATCATCGGTGCCACCCTGGCTAAACCGATGGGCGGGGAGCGTATCATCGGCATGCTCCCGCTGCTGCCCAAGATCTTGTCGCGGGCTCGGGCCACGATCGCCTCCGAGTGGACGGAGGGCCTCGGCACCTTCTGGGACTCTGCGATCCGTGGGTCCAGCGCTTTGCGAACGGCGTTGAAACGGGCGGTCATGGACGAGTCGGGGCAGGAGCTGGCGGTGGCCTTCTCGCCGCTGCTGATGGACGTGGTGACCTCCTACGACTGCGCGTCCATCGTCAAGCTCATGGTGATCGCGGAGAGGTTCGATAACCCTGCGGTAGTTGTCGGTCTCGAGGCGCAGATCTCTCTGGCGCCGCGCTTGCTGCAGGATCGCTTCTGCGGGCTGTCTCAGCCAGTCGGGGCGACGCGCTCGGTGGTGGCTGGCGCCAGGCACGGGGTCAGCTTGGGCAAACTCTACATCCACCGCATTTTGGCGAGGGTGCACGCGTTCTCCCCCTGGGCGGGGTTAAGCTTCCTAGACGATACCGTCGTGCGCGTGGAGGGCTCCAGAGCGGCGGTAGTCGCCTCCCGAAGGTCGCCGTGATCCTGAAGGAGGTGATGGACGAGCAGGACTTCATCTCCTTGAGAAAGTGGCTCGTAGAGCTTCCCCATGAGCGAAGCGGCGAAGCTCTAGAGTAATTCCACAGCGTCGGCGGGCTAGTTGGCTCGGAACCGCGCGGCGCACCTCTTGCTTGGTCTGCCGCGAACCCGTTCTCTTCCGTGCAAAGTTGCACGTTGAGACATGCCGAACTCAGCCGCGACGGCGGCATTGCAAGCGAATGGCTAAATCTCGAGGGCGAGTCCGGAAACGGTTTGTGCGCGCCACAGGTGTAGTGCATCGGGGACCTGGAGCTTCCCCACGAGCGAAGCGGCGAAGCTCTAGAGTAATTCCACAGCGTCGGCGGGCTAGTTGGCTCGGAACCGCGCGGCGGACCTTTTGCTTGGTCTGCCGCGAACCCGTTCTCTTCCGCGCACAGATGCACTTTGAGACATGCCGAATGCAGCCGCGACGGCGCCATTTCAAGCAAATAGCTACATGTCGATGGCGAGCCCCTAAACGGGTTGCGCGCGCGTCGCAGGTGTAGTGCACCAGGGGCGTGGAATGACTCGTGGAGCTTCCCCATGAGCGAAGTGGCGAATCTATAGAGTAATTTCGCAGCGTCGGCGGGCTAGTTGGCTCGGAACCGCGCGGCGGACCTTTTGCTTGGTCTGCCGCGAACCCGTTCTCTTCCGTGCACAGTTGCACTTTTAGACATGCCGAATGCAGCCGCGGCGCCATTGCAAACGAATGGCTAAATCTCGAGGGCGAGTCCGGAAACTGTTTGTGCGCGCCGCAAGTGTAGTGCATCAGGGACGTGGGATGCCTCGTAGAGCTCCCCCATGAGCGAAGCGGCGAAGCTCTAGAGTAATTCCACAGCGTCGGCGGGCTAGTTGGCTCGGAACCGCGCGGCGCACCTCTTGCTTGGTCCGCCGCGAACCCGTTCTCTTCCGTGCACAGTTGCACTTTGAGAAATGCCGAATGCAGCCGCGACGGCGCCATTGCAAACGAATCGCTAAATCTCGAGGGCGAGTCCGGGAATGGTTTGCGCGCGCCGCAGGTGTAGTGCATCAGGGACGTGGATTGACTCGTAGAGCTTCCCCATGAGCGAAGCGGCGAAGCTCTAGGGTGATTCCGCAGCGTCGGCGGGCTAGTTGACTCGGAACCGCGCGGCGGACCTTTTGCTTGGTCTGCCGCGAACCCGTTCTCTTCTGTGCACAGTTGCACTTTGAGACATGCCGAATGCAGCCGCGACTGCGCCATTGCAAACGAATTGTTAAATCTCGAGGTATTTGGTGACTTTGGGTCGGTTGAAAGCGGTGTTCTCGGAACTTGAACATTCGTTAGAACTCTAGTATTTGTTCCCGTGGGGTTTAATACCACTCCCGCTTGCCATCTTGGTCTCAGGTCCAGATCATCATTAGCACTAGCAGCAAAACATCCGGGCGGGGTCTCATGTTCGGAGTCATTTTGACAGGTGATGTCTGTTCTCTCAACTTTACTTGACCTGTGGGCCAGCCACAGAACTCTCGATCACACCAATCGATGCGACATGATATGCTGCATCCCACTGAGAGCTCTCGAGTGTTATTGGATGGCTGAGTCGCGAGTTATTGTCGAAAACATTGATATGCATCGGCGTGTTGAGGACTGGCTTTGGATAATAATTGGACGCGCAGGCCAGCTAGGGGGCTCGTATTTTCTCAGATGAAAGCTTTGGCATGTCTCGAAGCAGTTCGAACAGCAGAAGCGCATCATCGAGGTGAAATAGGCAGGCACGATCGAACAACTCGAACAGTAAGAGTCACATGTCGGCTTGCATCGATGAGGTTTTGGACTGAACTGAAGCTGCAGGCCTGCCATGGAGCTCTGGTTCACTCAGATGAAAGCTCGTGCGAGATTCTTGCGCGTTCCATTTGCGTTCGTGGCGAGGAAGCTCTACGAGTTCCCGGCGGTAACCAAGGTTGACGGCGAACCGACGGCTTCCAGTCGAAAGTGCCGACCTCGGACAGGGCCTTGGGCGCCGAGATGGCTGCGGCGCTGGACGCGGCGGCGGCCCCCTGCCAGCTGGCGTCCGAGGTTTCTGTCGCATCCTCCAGATGCGGAAGCGGACGGCCCTGCGCCATGCTGCGACGCCAGGCCAGCCAGGCGGCCAGTGGCCCTGGCCGCGGGCGTTGCTTCGCATCGGTGCTGGCGGCCACGATGGGCTGGCGGGGCTGCGGAGGCAAGTCGTGGAGGCTTGGCTGTCGGCGTGGATGCTGCACCCTGCGCTCCGCGCCCCAGCGCAGCGGGTAAGGTCAGGTGTGCGGCGTGCCCTGAGCAGGGCAGGCGGCTGCCATTAGCGGCGCGTGCGAGGGCCCATCGGCGCGATCCAGGCCACGCTCCCGGACTTGGGCTGGGACCCCGTGGAGGCGACGCGGTGGCATCGGCCCACGGCGGCGGGCTATGACGAGTGGACGCTGCCGACGGCCGCGGACGAGCGCTTCGCCAGCGTCACGGAGTACCAAGGCGTGCTGGACGACGTCGTCGCGGACCTCCGTAGCCAGCCTTGGCGGCAGGCGGCGTGCCACGAGGCGGGCGACGGCCTGCAATGAGGAGCTGATTTCCTCCCCATTGCTCGAGAGATGAGCCGCTTCGAGAAGGAGGACAAGATGTCGGATTCGGGGCTCAACCTAATTGTCGTGTCGGGCGGGCAATGGCCGCGCGAACTGCGCTTGTGGGCCAGCTACGCTCTGAGCGACGGCATTTGCAAGCGCTGTGGGCGGGCCAGGGAGGACCTTCTCCACAGGATCTGGACGCGCGCCGATAGCGCGGGCGACGAGGCCTTCTCAAAGACGGACGCGCTCCTGCCGAGGGCGCTGGCGGGCTATGAGGTGGAGCCTTCCTTTTGGCTGCAGAGCGTAGCGCCGGCCCGCCTCGCGACGCCGACCTTCGACGAGGAGAGGGTGGCGCGGGCTGAGGTGGTCATCGGCGGACCGCTCGACCATTGCCGCGACTCCACAACCGTTGTCACTGTCTTCGGCGACGGCTCAGGCGGGCGCTTCTCCGTCGACCCGAGAAGGAGGAGGTGCGGCGCTGCGATCGCGTTCCTCGCCCGGGGTCCCGACGGTAAGTGGCAAGCCGCTGCTGGGCGCTATGTGCCACTCGTCGGCTCGCGGCAGACAGTGCCGCGGGCTGAGATTTTGGCGTTCGTGCTGGCGCTGGGATCCACCTCTGGCGCGATGCGCTTCGTGACTGATCACGAACCGCGGCAGCGCGCTTGGAGGGCTCGACTGTCAGCCCCCTTGCGACCGCAGCCTCGCGAACGAGGATCTGTGGCAGCGGGCGCGGGAGGCGGTGGCTTCTCGGGGGGCAGGGGAGATGCAAGTCGCGTGGGTGGCGTCGCGTGCCGACGAGCATGCGCACCTTCTCGCCTCCTCGCGTGCCCTTTTTCTGGCGCTTGGCAGTGCTGCAGTACAGTCGGCCCGGATTAGTAGGTCGACCCTGCCAGCTCAAGGGTACCCTTGTGTCCTGTGCCTCGCGACACGTGCCTTCTTACACTCCTATGGCAATGTGGCCCTAGGAAGGGTCTTGTGTCCTCTTGCGTGTCCTGTCCAATCAAGGCCGACTGTAGATGCTCAGGCTGGGCAGGCGGCCGAGGCAGGCTGGCAGGCCAGCTTGTTCGGCCCCGAGCCTCGCACGGACGAGTTCGACTCCATCGCCACCCTCGTCAGGCTTCGCGTGCGCGCGCAAGGCGCTCGAGCGGGCGCCGGAGGCCGACGCTGAGAGGGGCGCGCGCCCGTCTGGGCCAAGGCGGCCAGCCCGCACGGCGGCTCGCATGGCCGCGGCGGAGAGCGCCCACCTGATGGTGCGGTGCGGCAGCAAGCGGACCTGCCAGAGGTGCCGCAGACTCGCGCAGATTTGCCGTTTGTTTGTGCTTCTGCAGCACGCCTTGCACCGGACCTGCTGTCGCCGAGGCCAGCTTTTGGCGGCGGCGGCCAGTGGAGGTGGCCCAGCTCCTGCACCTGTGGGCACCGCCCCGTGCGGCGAGGCGCTGCATGTTTCGCACGTGTTGTTTAATGGGCAGAGTCTTGCATCACTTTTTGCCACGTGTGCGGGAGGTACAACACGGGCGGCCAGCGCACCTGGCGGCGAAGTGCCCTGGGAAGACGAGGAAGGGTACGGAAAACCTTTCTCGGATTCGGAAGGTGTTGTTTCCCCGGCGCGAGGGGCCCCCCCAAAGGGGGCCCTCGGTGCCCGTGCGCAGCGAATCCAGGACGCGGCCGTGACCCAATGCAGTGAGTGAGCGCTGCTCCCCAGCGAGTGCCAGGCGGGGCATGGTGTGGGCAGTAGAATGCCAAACGCTGGTAGTGCATCGGTCCTGCACGTGGCGGCTCCAGCAGTGCGTTTCGCGTTTTGCTGGCCCCGACGGGGCACCGCCTGCAGCGGCTTCTGTGGGCCGCTGGGAGAGAAGAGTAGTACCCGTCGTCCGTGGGGTGCCTCCCGTTTGGGTGTGGCATGGCCATGTGGCTTATGGGGTGTCAGCTCCTAGTCCAGGTGGCGGTGATTCGACTTAAGGAGGTCTGCTTCGGGCCTCGGGAGTGGCCAAAAGGTTCCAAACGGTTCCCCTTCCTCCTCCTCCCCCTTCCTATTCCTCCTCTTCCTCCCCTTCCTCCTCCTTCTTTGACCTCCACGCTGTGCGTTTCCTTTTCCTTTTTTGTCTTCACTCGAGCAAGCCCTGGGTGCGCAGTGTTCGCTCATGGGGTGGGGTGGGCCCTTCCCCTTCGGTCGGCCGCACGTGGGAGCCTCTCATGGGAGATTGGTTGCAGTGCAGTCAAGGGAGGAAAAACCACCCGGACCAGACAATTGGCGTTTACTAAGCGGCCCTGGGCGTTTATGAAACAGCCCTGCCCTGCTCGATTCCTTCTTTGGGCGCGTTTACTAAAGACCTCGCGTGTCGGGGTGGTTATTATCGGGGTGGATTTTCTGCCCTCTATGCAGGTCGCTGGGCTCCATATCTTCCTGAGCTTTGCTCGTGACTCGGCACTCGCCGCCTAGCTGCAGATCTTCCAGCGTCTCTGCCCCGATCCAGCGTGCGCCCCCGCGCGCGTGGGGAGTCGGAGCGGATGGGAGGAGCTGCGGAGAGAGCTGGACGACCTGCGCGGCTACAGGGACGCCTACGAGAAGCTCCAGGCGAGTATGAAGAGTCCTCGGAGGCAGAATTCAACATCGGCGCTGGTATATCCGAGGTCGAACATGGATTTTATCCAGCACGATCCCGCTGAGTTGCGCTTGATCGCGCTTCGTCCCGCTTAACCCGTCTTGGATATGTCTTGAATCTGGGCTGATCTGGCTCGATGGCCCCGTAGTCGTGCTTGATAGCACCTCATCCTTCTTACGAAGACCTCCCTTGAGTTGCTTCCTGGTGTTGTGCTGTTTCCCCCAAACTGTACTTGCCCTTAGGGAATCTTACCTGTGGGTTCTGAGGATGCTGAGCTCCGATGCCGGTCCTGCTGGCTCGGCGCAGTCTGTCGACACCCGTCGCCGCCGTCTGTCGCCGCCACTTGCACTCGCCCACTTGCATTCGTGCACTCGCACTCGCTCACTCGCATAACATAGCGCAGCATACCATAGCACAACACAGCACGGCATTACCCCATCATGGCGTAGTGTATCGTATCTCAGCTGAGTTTAGCTTGGCTTATTTTAGCTTAACATAACATTGCATACCACATCGTAAAGTAGTCCCACATCATAGCTCATACGGGCATACCATAACATGGCATAACAGTTCAGAGCATGATGCAATCACAGAGGTGCGACTGAAGGTTCCGCCGCATCGATTGCATTGCAGTGCGGAGATCACCCCGCATTGATTGGCATTGCATGGAGTGCACTGCATAGACTGCGTTGCGTTGGCTGCATCGCACATAGCAGCACATCGCAGAGTATGCTAGAACACACTGCTTTGGGCCCACGCTGGCTAACATGTTTTAGGGTCTGGCGATAACCCAGGTTATCGGGGCCGCCCTCCCCCTCCTCCCCCGGATAACCTGGCCTTGCTGGTGGGGCAGGTCCGACGGGAGTGCGCAGAGTTGGTGCGCGTTGGCATACGTGGGGCTGCCCAAAGCGAAAAAAAATGGTTATCGGCCTGCACCTCCCTTCCCCTCCCCCCCTCTAGAGAATCAGGGTTATTCACTCGTTACACCCGACATACTGATATTATGTGTGCGTCGCCCACCCCACCCCCCTGCCCAGGGGCGACGCGTGCGCCGAGAAACATCCTGTAGCATAAGCGCCCTGGCGCGCGTTTTCTGGCCATCACCGCTCGGGAAACGCTATGCTGCAAGAGGTCTGTACTATCTGTTCGGGTCGGACGCGCGCCTGCGAGGAGGGCACATAGTACTAGTACGTCCTTCTGCGTCCCATTTCTGTTGGGGAGACGTAAGGCTCGCGTACGCCAGAACTCGGGTTCGCCTACGCTTTTTAACCAGTCCGCCCTGGATTTTGACGACTTGCAGAGCGTGCCTCGAAATCTTCCGGACGGCCCCTGTCAGGCCAACCCGGGTCCCCCGAACCCGAGTCTTCTGTCTCCCCATGCACTTGGCATCGCGCGGACGTGTGCATTTCTCCTTCGCTGAGGATCATCGAGGAGCATCCTTGATCATTTGGCGAAAAAAAAAACGCACGAAACCGAAACGTGCACGGGACATGGACGTCCGAGCGACGGCAAGGGAAGCGCAGCAGCACCATCCCCAGGCGAAGATTGCGCCCTTCTCGGCCGCGCGCGGGGCCCGGGGGCGGGGCGCCGCCGCCGTCCTGGAGTCCTTCCTGGGCGCGCAGCGCGCGGGCAGCCACGGCCAGCCCGAGCCCGAGGTGTGACGCGAGCGGCGCACGCCCGCGCCCCTTGGCATCTCCTCGGCAGCTCCTTGGCAGCTCCTTGGCATTTTCTTTCTCGGCGAGGGCCTTCGAGGACCAGCCTGGACCATCTGGCAAATAAGAGCCACACGCAGGAAACCGGACAGAAGCACAGGGCATGGAGGTCCGAGCGATGGCCAGCCTACATCCTGGCCGCTCGCAGAGTTGATCGGGATGGACGCCCCCCTGCGGTCGGTTCGCGTCGTGTGGACTGGCGGCGACCCCGCCGCCCGCGCTCAATGCTGAACGCCGCCGGCGGCACAGCACCGGTCGGGGTTACACGATCTGACGTTTCGGAGACGGCCGATCGTTCAAGCCTGAACGAGTCCCGCGGTGTCAGCAAGCAACGCCGGAGTCGACACGGCACGAACCCGCGGCATCGCACATTCCCGAATTAGGCCCACAACCGTCGACCCACTCGAAGGTTTCCCGAAGTCGGTGATCGGGGACGCCATACCCCTCGTGATAGCCACGCTTGCCATCCATGCAGGAGAATCGATGGTTGGCGGGGGTATGGGTCGGATGCCGCCACCCATACTCGTTCTTGCGGAGACCTCCCTGGGGTTGTCGTCCAGGCGCAGAGAGGGGTTCGGGGGGAGGGGGGCAGGCTTGTTAGAAGCTTCCCTGCTTCTTGGAAGGCGCGGTCCTTGTCTATGGGTGCAAGGCTGGCGCATGCTAAGAAGCGGCCTTCTTTTGAGACGCTCGCCCCCCTCCCCCTATCCCCCCTGTGCGCGCCGCCAATAGATGATGCTAGAAATGCCGGAGGCGCTGTCTTTGTGTTGTCAAAACTGACGTTCTGTGTTCCCCCAATGTTTTACGGGCGCAGCCCGTAATTTGATCTTCGCGAGGTAGACAGACTGAACTGAACCACCAGGCCGTTAGATGGCAGTTTTATTTCCGCAGGTGAGAATATTTCGGTGGCAGTTTTAAGCCAGCGGGTGAGGGTATTTCGGTGGCAGTTTTAAGCCAGCGGGTGAGGATATTTCGGTGGCAGTTTAAGCCAGCGGGTGAGGATATTTCGGTGGCGGCTTTAAGAAAGCGGGTGAGGAAATTTCGGTGTTTCAGCTGGTGCGGATATTTCGGTGGCAGTTGATTCCCGCGGGTGAGGATGTTCTGATAGCAGTTTAAGCCAGCGGGTGAGGATATTTCGGTGGCAGTTTTCAGCCAGCGGGTGAGGATATGTCGGTGGCAGATTTATTTCCGCGGGTGAGGGTATTTTGGCGGCAGTTTTAAGCCGGCAGATGAGCATATTTGGGTCGCAGTTTTATTCTTGCGGATTAGGATATTTCAGTGGCACTTCTAAGCCAGCGGGTGAGGATATTTCGGCGGCAGTTTTCAGCCAGCGGGTGAGGATATTTCGGTGGCAGTTTCAAGCCAGCGGGTGACGATATTTCGGTGGCAGTTTTAAGCCAGCGGGTGAGGATATTTCGGTGGCAGTTTTAAGCCAGCGGGTGAGGAGATTTCGAATGCAGATTTAAGCCAGCGGGTGAGGATATTGCGGTGGCAGTTTCAAGCCAGCGGGTGACCATCACCCGCTCTATAACACCTCGATAACACCCGATAACACCTCGATAACATGTTTTCGAGATGTGTTCGAGATGTTATCGAGGTGTTATCGAGGTGCTATTGAGTGTGATCGAGCTCGATAGCGCTCGAGAGCACCTCGATACCACTCGATGACACCTCGATAGCATGAGGTGTTATCGATGTGTTATCGAGTGTTATCGAGCGGTGGCAGTGTCAAGCCAGCAGGTGAGGATATTTCGGTGGCAGTTTTATTTCGGCGGGTGAGGATATTTCGGTGGCAGTTTCAAGCCAGCGGGTGAGGATATTTCGGTGGCAGTTTAAGCCAGCGGGTGAGGATATTTCGGTGGCGGCTTTAAGAAAGCGGGTGAGGATATTTCGGTGGCAGTTTCATTTCCGCGGGTGAAGATATTTCGGTGGCAGTTTTAAGCCAGCAGGTGAGGAAATTTCGGTGGCAGTTTTAAGCCAGCGGGTGAGGATATTTCGGTGGCAGTTTTCAGCCAGCGGGTGAGGATATTTCGGTGGCAGTTTTAAGCCAGCGGGTGAGGATATTTCGGTGGCAGTTTTATTTCCGCGGGTGAGGATATGTCGGTGGCAGTTTTAAGCCAGCGGGTGAGGATGTTTCTGTGGCTGCATTGATCCAGCGGGCGAGGATATTTCGGTGGCAGTTTTAAGCCTGCGGGTGAGGATATGTCGGTGGTAGTTTTAAGCCAGCGGGTGAGGATATTTCGGTGGCAGTTTTAAGCCCGCGGAGGAGGAGGAGAAGGAGGAGGGAGGAACAGAGAATATCTGTGCTCGGCGCGGGCATCCAGCCGCCACGCGATGCGTCATTCGCTTGGTTGGCCCAGCCGACGGCTACGCATCCAGCGCGGTGCTGCGCCCGTATATATGCTCGCCCCTTGGCGTGGGGCTGGCGGGGGGGCAAGGGGCGAGCTGTCCGGTGATTGAGTGTGTCTTTCCCGTTCTGGGACTACCGTTCGCATTGTGTTCGGTTCGGTTCTGTTTTGTATTGCAGTGTTGCTCCGTCGTGGGATGTTTCTGTGTTGTTTTCTTTGGTTGGCGGGAAACCAACAGTTGAAGACGGAACAAAAAGCGCTCCAGCATTTTTGGCGTCGACTAGGTGAGCGTTTTCGTTTGTTCTTCCCCAGGGCAACGCTCCTTAGCAGGGCCAACCCCCCACCCCCTCCCGGGTAGCGCTAACGATCGTGCTGCGAGGGGGTGGCCTGAACCCCCCCCCCCCTCACGCTGCGGTGCACTCGTGCGATGGGTGCGCAGGTGGCGCGGACGCACCCTGGCGGGGGCACGCCGCGGCCGCCGTTGTGGCTCCCCCGCCGCCCGAGCCCCCGCCCTCTCCCCGGGTGGCGACCGTTTCCTGGGCAAGAACAGAAATAAAAAAAGCGGCCACCAGTGGCGGCCCACGCCCCGTCGACTCTTGGGCCTCCCGCCCCGCCCCCTGGCGCCCCGTGCTCCTCTGGCGTGCACGGGGGGGGGGGGCCCTCCCGGCCTCCCGCTCCTCGCGCCTTCCCTCGGACCCAGCCGCTCTTTCGCTTCTCTCGTCGCACCTTCCGCTCGCACCATGTCTCGCCTCGCGCCGCAGGTTGCCTCTGCTCGCACCTTTCTCTTCCCCCTCTCCCCGCACCTGCCTCTCGCACCGTTGTCTTCTCGCGTCGCAGTTTCTCTTCACGCCGTGCTTTGCCGCCCAGGCTCGGGCCCCGCGGGACCATCACAGGCCGATCCGGTGCTCAGAGTGCCGCAGGGAGATGGGGTCTACAGTCGGCCCAGATTAGTAGGTCGACCCCGCCAAATCAAGGGTACCCTTGTGTCCTGCGTCTCGCGACCCATGCTTCCTACATTCCTGTGGCAATGTGGCCCTCGGAAGGGTCTTGTGTCCTCTCGCGTGTCCTGTCCAATCGAGTCCGCATGTAGGGCTCTTTCGGCGGCCAGCCCGGGGGGAAATGAGAGGGGGCGGGCCTTCCGGTAAGGCTCAGAAGTCCCCCGGCCTTCTGAACAGTTTTCCAAGAAAAGCCTTTCCCAACGACGCAGAGCATTTCTCAGAAGGCACGCGTGTGTCTGAGAAGCCCCGCTGCCTTCTGAGAAGGCTCTCTCTTTCTCACTTCCCCCCCCGCTCGCCGATGACCATCACAGGCCGATACGGCTTTCAGAGTGTCGCAGGAAGATGGGGTCTGGGGCTCTTGTCGTGAGTTTTCTCGATGTTGTTATTGTTTTCGCAGCGGCGCATCTCTGGGCTTCTCCTCCCCTTCACCATTTCCTCTTCCCCACGCCCGCACTGAGGGCCGCCCTTCTACTCCCATTCCCCGCCCTTCTCCTTCCCGCCCAGCCCTGGCGCCCCTCCACTTGACTGCCTGGGCGGTAGACAGCCTTCTTGGGCGTGAGCATGGCGTGCTCCTCGCGCCGGTCATTGACATATGGGAGGTTCGTGTCGTGCCGACGCGTCAGCGACTCCGCCCATGCCGCGTGTCGGGCCTCATTGCTCCTCTTCGCCCCTGTTGCCCTTTTGCTCTTCAGCAGGCTGCTTCCTCGGGTACGCTCCTGCACCAAAGGCGTTCTCGATTTTGGGGCGTTGCGGGTAAACATCTGGGGGCTGGCGCAGTCTCTTACCATCCGTCTTCTTGGTCCCCACCTTGGGGGCCGCCTGCGCACGCCTCGTGGCGACAATTCTCTGCGCCTGAGCCCCCCCCGCGTTCCCCCCCCGCGGCCGCCCTCCTCTCGTCCTAGTTGTCTGATGTGCCCCTGCCTTGGCGGGGCCCGCCAGCTCTCCGAACGCGCTGGCGACCACCCTCGCTGCTGACCGCAGAGGCCGGCGCACGGGCGCCCGCGGCACACGGGTCTCAGCATCGTCCGCAGTGAGAGCGCAGGATCCACGCCGCAGGTCGGCCCGCCGTGCCCATGGTCGGGGCAGCCGCCACCAGCACCTGGTGACAGAGTCGTACTTCGCTCGCCCTGCAGCTGCGCTCAGCAAGATCCCCCCTCGAAATGCATCGCTTGTGCGCCCGTGGGCGCAAGCGGTCGCCCGTCAGCGCTGGCCGGCGCCTGAGGGCGCCGTGCCGCTCATGGCCTGCGAGCACCCGCAAGTCCACGGGAGCGCACGCGAAGGCCATGCGAGCGCCGGAGAGGAGAGCACGGAGCACAGCAGCACGGAGCGCCTGCAAGCTTGTGCTTCGGGGCTCCGTCTTCCCTTCCGTAGCACCTGGCGTGGTGGCCCAAGGAAGTCTGGGATGCCACGGGGATGCGTTTACGGGACGGCGCCTGAGGACTTCTGCTTGTCATTGGTTACGTCGTCTGTTGTGCCAGGGGTTGGGCCCGTCGAGTCCTTTGCGCCCCGGGGATTCGGGATGCTACAGTGTGCGCCGTCAGTTGCGCTTTGGTTTGCGTTACCGTGAGTTGCGCATGGTTTTGCGCCAATCGGCTCCCTTGTGCGC